AAGAATGTTCAACCTGACCTTTGATATGCATCTGTTAGGAACAAAACTATTTCTGCTGTCCCATATATGCCCCTTTAGTACTGACTTGTCTTACTCAAGGAGATAGCAGCTGAAGCAAACAGTATATTGCATGACGTTATCTCTTCATGGAGGATTTAGGGATTACAGCTGATTTCTAGCAATCTTGTTGAAAAACTTACTGCCCAATAATGTAGAAAGGTAAGCAAAGAGCATGGATGTTGTGACAGACTACAGCATCCTTCTCCTGTCATGACTGGAAGAGCAAAACAACTTAAAACTTGTGAATTCAAGTGCCTAAGGAGTCTGTTCAGGCACATGATATGATTGCTGCAGACAAGTGGATACAAGAAGATGAATACATCATCTGTTAGATGTGAGGGCTGTTCAGTGTCCTGAGGTGAATTACACCGGAGCTTCACAAGACGGACAGACCATCTATCTGCAGACAACTGTCTATCTGACATTTAAGGATAACAACACTGGGCAGTTAGATTCTGCAGTTTGAACTTGTTATTGAAGCAAATTTGAGCCAAGGATGTTGATGGAGAGATTTCTCCAGAAGGAGGTTACTCTGTGGCAATGTTCAGGTGTTTGGTGTTGTGGTTTTTCTTGTATTTGGACACCAAAAAGCAGTGTAAAAACCAAGATTAATCAAAAACCTAGGTTTCTGGGTATGTAAAATGTGCAAGGTTCAGGAGACAGTCCTTATTCAGATGGATCACAAAACATATTGCTTGTCATGAAAATTCCTTTGTTATCTCAGCAATTCCCTGGTCTGAAAATATGGAGATTCTGGTCAAAAACTGATGTTAGAAAGAGAAAATATTAAATGAGAAGTGGGATTCATTAAATGCTTTGCATGTGTGTAATAAAACATACTCGGGTCAGCAAGGCCCAGGCAAAAGGGATGCTGAGGGATTGGTTCAGAATACCTTTTTTCCCCATGTGACAGTGTATACCTGAGCTTTAGGAAGCTCTATAACATAGAATATTAAAATCAATAATGATCCAAATATCTTGATCAAGGCAAGAGTGAGAGAATCATTTTCCAATTCAACAGCTTGAATTTTAAGGGTGTCAGCCAGTTGCTTTTTAAAACAAAAGAACTTGGAGGAAAACCCTCTGTCAGAAGGGGGGAGGAATAAAATTGCATGGAAATTTTCTATTTTGAATCACTCCTAAAACTGGATCTACTTAGTGGGTGAGAAAAGACTGAACTTTAAAACATCATGACTTCCTGAGGACTGCCACCTTAGTAAATTCCCTTTGTAAAATACTTAAGTAACAATTCTAATTTATTACTGTGTAGTAACCCACTTCTTCACTAATTAGGGAACCCTTTATGGGCCAATTCAATAAGAGTCAATGATTTGATGGTAGCTAAAAAAATAAAATAAATAATGTGGATGTGTTGTATTTGTACACACCTGAAAAATGTTCTGTGATCATAAGATTGACAGGCAATTCAAATATCTGCTTTAAATTATACTTAGTCAACTAACATCAGTACTAATGTACTGATCTTTATCTTGAAAGCAGGATTCAGCCTTTGTTTTTATTCAGTTCATGTCCATTCACTTTGGTTGAACAGCAAGAGATGCAAGCCTGAGGCTGTACAGTCTGGATCCAAGTTTGTACCGTCAGGTGTATGGTGGCTGCTCCCCGTAGAAAGCCAGGACATCTGGGTGGTAACAAGCTGCCCATGGTAGGCACTGCTGCTGCACATGTTGATCATGCATCACAAGGCATGGATGCCCTCAGCCTGCTTAATTTGATAATTTGCTTCTGAGGATCTCATTTTTTAAAAAAAAGAAAATGTCTCTGCATATAGACGATCCTAAGGCTGTAGCTGCAAACACTGTTCAGTCTCAATACTTTATACAATTTATTGTCTGTTACTCCCTCTGACTTTGTGGGGCACAAGCAGACCCGACCATCTTAATAATGAGTTATTGCTGGGTAATTAATCAGCATCTCCTGGTTCAGACAAATGCCTCCTGGAATTTACCGTAACTCACCTCCAGCAGCCAATACATATAGCCTTTAATTGCCTCATAATATTGTCTAGAATACATCAGCTAATATTGAAAGGGCCTGATTGCATCTCTTTGAGCTAAGCAACATATATTAGTGTTCTGCCCCTCTTCTCATTCTGCTCATTTATCTTACCGGTGTCACGAGCTGCGCTGAGGGCACATCATCAGGGTGCAATCAGGAGCAGGTTTGTTAAAGCAAATTGCAATTCTGGGCTTGCAGTGTGGAAAGAAAAACTCCCTACGAGGCAAGTCACATAAACCACTGCGTACTGACAGCTGGGTCGCTGGAAATGCTCCTTTCAGTGGGATTATTTTTAAACATGGAGAAGGAAATATAACTATAAAGCTTTGCATGCTTATAAGATGAAAATAAATGAATCTCCACGCATCTCACTGAGTGAAATTCAGTTAGCTTCATTGTGGAGTACTGGAAACACTTCGGAATTTCTGAAGAATATCAGATTATTTACTCAATTTTTGAGGAAAATTATTCCGATCTGTTCAGTGTTTATGTTGTTTCTAGTTCAGAACCAAGACACTTCCATGCTATTTTCATGGATGTTTTAAAGTTCCCTGACACTGAAAAATGTTACCTTATTTCTTCAATTAATAATACCATGATTGCATTTTTATTAGTCTTCATTTAGATGTGTTCCTGTCCCTATGGACAACTGTTTTTGAAGATACAGTGAGGTGGAACACTTCAAATAAAAGGCCAGGCCAAATCTTCATTGAAATGAGTAGACCTATTTCCCTAGACTTCAAAGAATAAAGGAATATAATTAAACACAGTTGGGGGAAACAGGAAAAGCTAGAAGCCTTGATTTGAACATGCTTTGGATCAGAGTGTAAAGAGATAAGAACTGCATCAGGTACAAGTAGGGAAGATGGAGTAGCAATGTATTTCTGGTGTGTGCTTTAACTGCAGTACTAGTTATCACATAAGTGAATGATGATAGAAAAATATGCTACAAAAGACAGTATTTGGACATTTATGTGGCTCGCCCTGGAGGGAGCTGGTTGAAGTGAAGGGAAGAGGTGAGCCATTAACACAGTGAAGTTTCCCTGATTTAATCTAAATACAGTGGAGACTTTGCTCCTTCATCGTAATGCCTGGCCTTGTACCTAACGAGAATCTCTGCAGGAGAGACTGGAGTGTGGCTAGGCTGCATGAAGCCCATCAGAAGCATCTAAAAGCTGGGATAGCTGGTGGCTGCACTGTCTCTTTCCTCCCAGTATTTTGAGTTCAAGTTCCAGAGGTCTTTATTGGCAGGTGAGACACTATGTGAAGTGTCTAACTAGTTCAATGGGACTCCCTGCTTCTTGGCAAAAAAAGTAGGAGCTGTTGTAAATGGTTGTGATCCACAAATCTGTGATATTTACCAAGCCATCACCATCTGTCTATTGAGGAGGAAGGGCAAATCACGCTTCCACCTCCTTCAAGGACAGTAACGTATTATATGTTTCCTCTAGTTATTTATTACCTCTGCCGAGGAAGAATGAGTTGTAGAGAAAATAGCTGTAAGAATTTGTTGAATACTGATTGACAAAAAGTTTTGTTATATATATAAATCAAGTGTTTCACACGAGTTTCATAGCATGTTACTTAGCATTATATTGTTCCTGAGATAGGATAAAGTCTACCAAAATTAATATAACACACTTGAAGCACCAATAGTGTTTAAAAAAAAAAAAAAAAAAAAAAGCTCAACATATGCAGTTCTGGATTTCTCTGTTCTTTTATTTTCACACCAAAATTTCCAGCAAGCTCCTTGAGATCTGTATCTCAAGGAAAAAGATGACTGCTGTTGCTGGATGTTACAAGGTTGGAACTGAATGCGTAGTTGGAGAATTTGATTACTTTCAAAGCAGCACTGTCTAAGCGTGAAAAGACAATATCATCATGTAAAACAGCGTTAACATTATAAAGGTATAACTGGACTAGTTTTAAGGTGAGAATACAGCTAAGAAATGGTTGAGGACTGTTGTTGATGCTTGTAGAGGGGCCTTGGTTTTCCCCCAACTACCAGGGACTACTCTCCATTTGAAAGTAAAAGTTTTTTTGCTGGAAAGTTTAGTTGTATCAGATGACAAACCTTTATAAACATATTTTTAGGTATGGTTATCGAAGCAAATGTTATTTAAAATATGCAAATAAATGCATGTTCATTTTCAGCAATCAATTAAGGACTAGAGACTAACTTTCATCTAGCAGCATCAGCCTCATTATGGGACTTTCATCTTCATCTGTTCTTCTAACTTTGCTATCGCTGTCCCAGTTTCTGCCTGTGAGAGGCTTCTTCTGGCTTCCACAAGTAACATCTGCAAAGCTTTCCCCAGGTGTTGGTGGCAGGTGCTGATCAGAGTGCAGTTTGAGTAGTTGGACTTCTGCCTCTGGGTCACAGAAAGATCTTTCCCAAGTATCTGTACCTTGTAAGATTATTTTCACTTTGTGTTTCAATATGTGCTTGCCTTTTCAGTTAGTCTTTGTAACTAACTTTGTTAGTTCTTGGTAATAGAAAAGATTTTTATTATTCCTGTTTCGTATTTAATTTCATAGGGAAAGTAAGTGTAATTATACAAATAATTTATATTTGATGACTATCTGATGCACATGCAATGTAAGACTTGTAGAAACTTCTGTTTGGGTTGTGTGATCTTTACTGTTGTGATGGAAACTTTTTCAGATTCCTGATGGATCTTGACTCTATTTTTCAGTCCTTGTTCAGACCACACTTGCCCTGCCTTTCTGCTCAGTCTTTGTTTCTTTTTATCCATAAAATTTGAAAAAAAAAAAAAAGCTAAGTCACTACTCATAAATGAGCAAAGGGGAAAAAAGAAAAACAGATCACCTTGAAGCAGCCAAGGCACAGCCAGTAAGCACTCAGGCTTTTCTATATAAAGAGGAAACACCTGCGCCTGAAAATATAAATGGGTTCACAACAGCAAAGAGCTTTATATAGTTAAGCCTCAAGGGTGTTTCTTCTGAATGCTTTATAGTAAGTAAAATCTGATTTAAAAATTATATATGTATATTAGCTAATGATACGTGAGCCTTTTGCTTATGGGACTGAGTGAAATGTATTTATGTTTTATTTTAGATTTCAAGTTATTTTGGCTGTTCTGCCAAAAACAGCAGGCTAGGAGCAGGGAATTGGAGAGCATATATCTATGTATATACACATGTGTGTTTTTTCGTGTTTTTTCTTCTTAATGGTCTGTGAGTGAAAAGACTTATTTTTTTAATGTACCTGGAAGCTCATAGCAGAAGTTTTTTTTTTTTTTTTTTTTTTTTTTTTTTTTTTACCACTGTGTTACTCCAGTGGTATGAAGTTAATATTGCTGTCTCTTGCTTGGGTAGGTTTACAGCATAATGCCTGGGTTACTCACTAAATTGCAAGTTTTTTCAATTACTTCCTATGGTTATCTTCTTTTGACTGTTGCTTGAGGTCTAAGCTAATAGCGAATAGATGTACTAGAGTCTTGTGTGTTGTGTAAACTTGTCCAGAGTTGGCGCAAGTCTATGATGTTGCTTGTATTACGTGGACTAAAACATGTGCGATACAGTTGCATACTTTGCTTCTTGACGGCTTTGTATTTCTGTCTGTTTTCAGTTGGCCACTGCCTGGCTCAAGAATACTTTGTGGGTTTTGCTACAGTGGGGGAGCAAAAACAATCAAGAGGTTAATACAAAGCTCTGGGTATCGTCTTTCACTGATAATAATATAATTTCTGTTAGCTTGTTTTTGATTTTAAAATAGCTTATGAAGTTAATTACTTCTGTTCTTAAGCTTAAGATACTTTTTACTTTTACATAAAATGACTTCTGTTCTCTACGTTTCAAATAAGTGGCTTTTATTTTTTTAATAGTTTCAATATGTATGGAATCAAAATCTTTATCAGTTTAAAACAAAAAAAAATCTCTTCTGGATGTAGAAGATTGAGGATTTCACAACTCCTCTGATCCACGAGTTTGTCCCCCATTAAGAGATTACACGCAGTCATTTGGGCTATATCTGTATGGATACCTTTTCATCTGAAATCTTCTTAAGGAATTGTTTACAGTATGGAAAATTAATATCTACCACTGGGTTGTTTATAAGTAAAATATCTATCTCACAAAAGATACTTAATAATTATTGGAGTCAAAAGTACAAAGGTTTGAAGGTGGGGAAGGTTGTGGGGCCTGGTTTGGGAAGAGTTCAGGTGTGCTCCCTATTGATGTGGTGGTGTGCAGCTCCTTCACTTAACTCTTCTATTCCTTTCTGGCCTGTTTTGAGCTTCTTAAAAATCTCTGCTAGGGCTGGAGAGATGAAAATCTACATCTTGCTAATGCTTGGAATTGAGTGTGTGTTTTTTTTTTTTTTCTTTTTCCAACTCACCATCAGGTAGAAGCCAACCTTCTTCAGTCCCTTAACTCAAGATACTGTAAATTTACTTCAGTGGAGGTGTTACTGTTTGTGTCCCTTTGGAGTGAGTGCTAGTTTTCATCTGGATGGAAAATACTGAAACCTGGTCCCTGTACGTGTATGTAGATAATCACATAAGTGTAAGCTGATTAGATATCTCAATACAATGCTAATAAGAACTAAAGAGGTGACTCCTCAATCAGATCCAGGCCTTACATAAAACAATATTCTGTCTTTGATGGTGGCCCAAGTCAGCTACTTAAATGTATAAAAACAGAATGTTTGAACTTTCCAGGTACCCCCCACAATACCCAACAAATGAGTTCAGGGACTCCCTGAGGTAGAGCTTGTTTGTGCAGATGGAGTAAACTTCATTGTATTTTTTATCTTTGAAACAGTCCAACCTCACCTTGACCTTTGGTAGGCTTTTCACACTCACATATTTCATTCAGAAACAGAAACAAGAGGAGAAGGTATATCTTCTGCAGATGAAGGACTGTCGATTACAAATGACACGATAAATTGAAATTTACTGTGGGACAGTGACATTTTATTACAGTAACCTTGATCTTCTACGCTGATCAATAGGTACTCCTGGAGCATCAGTTGAAGTTTCAGGTACTTTGTGGCTATTGAGAACAAACAAGGATTTGCTGTTTTGATGAAGAATAGCAAACAAAAACAAAGGTAGATAAAAGTTTTTATACTTGTAAACAGTCTTAGTCATTGAGATTTCTTCTAATTAAAGTGCTGGTCTTCCTTTTATAAATTATTTGAAACAGTCAGTCATACTTGGAATTTTTTTATACTATTTTCTGGGAATAGTGTGAATGCTCTGTTCAGGGTTGAAAATGAGATGCAGTAACTACTTACAGACAGCATATATCTCCTCTGGTATTTCCCTGCAAAGGATTGATCACAGGTAGTCCGTCTCTACTTTAAAAGTAAGTTGCTTTTTATTTTAGCTAAGCCTCAAGTAAAGTATGTAACTTAATGTGACTGTAGAAATTTATCATCAAAATGCTACTCTTTTTAAAGGGACATTGTAAAGCTATCAGTTGCATCAGAGTGAGTAAGAGCAGTACTAATAGCAGTTTTAACCAGAAGAAGCCTCCAAAATGCAATAGTTCTCATTCTTCTTGGTGTTGATTTTGATTTGCCCTCTTGCTTAGCAATAAGATAAACCGCAACTTTTTCGGATGTCAGCTTTGGTGTGTGTAAGCGAAAGATGTGGCTTTCAGTGTCTTCAGTCTTAGTTTCAGTTTCATCCCTTTCACTGACATGGAATTACACTGAGTTGAAACATAAAAGCTAGACATCATTTTCTCATTTGTTTCAAAAGGTCATGACTGATGTTATTCTTAAAACTGAATTTTTCACTCTACATTTGAAGTTAGATTGGATTCTGTTCTTAATTTTTTTAGCTTGTGTGAAGTAGAGCTCACCATGGAAGTATAAAACAAATGTAGTATTCCTGAAGGTCATATTGCAATAATATGGAAATTACAGTGAACCATTAGAAGTTTACTTTAGGAAGATTGATAGTGGGTGCTTTCTTTGGCTGTTACTGAAGGTAATGTGTGCTACATATGGACAGTGAGAAGAGGTCAGAAAATGGGTGACTGTCATCTCTTGAACCTCAGAGGCCTCGAGAATGGAAATGGGGGAACTCTACTGCCACTTTTTGTTTTGCAGACTAGTTGGACACCTTATTCCAGAGTTCATGTTAATGTTTCTAAGTTGCCAATCATTCATTCATCTGCCTAATCTCACTTGTTGTTTGAAATCATAATGTTTCAAATCTTCTGCTGGTCATTGTGTGTTTTTTGTTGTTGTTGTTTTGTTAGCATTTGGCACAGGTACTGAGAGGATTTGTTAACTTCATATAGGAATGCTCAAGCTTGGTGGTGGGACAAGAAATAGTATGAGAAACTTGAAAATTTGGTGTGTTCAGAGGAAGATAATTTTTATTTCCGCTTGCCCATTTGGACTGTTTTTTAAGTACCTATTCCTCATCTAATAGAATGCTTAAAAAAAAAAAAATGCTGAAAAAAGCCAGATTATGATAGTTGGATATAAACAATTTAACTGCTATCGTTTAATCCATCTGTTATTAGTAACTCTACAGCACAGTGCTTACCGGCTTTTGTGTATTTACTTCCTTGGCATGGCTGCAAGGGTTTCACGTGGCAGTCCTAAATGAAACAATTTTAAAATGGTTTATGCTGCCAGTTAGATTCTTGATTGCATGGCAAAGGATTAAACTTGCCATGTTCCTTGTTGTTACTCTTTTTGATGTCTTGGAACAACCCCCTTTTTCAATCTATGGCTTTCTACAATAGGAATGTTACAGACTTTGAACATAGACTGCGCTATGTGTTGTAAGTGCGATCAGAAATGTGAAAATAAATTATCTTCACAGCCTAATCTCTGTTCAGACTGCTTTCCAATAGACTGTGGCTATACAAAGCTGACAGACATTTCAAGTCGTTGCCAAAACTTATCGCTACCTAATTTCTGCTAGAAATGTTTGCTTAGCTGTGGAGATTACAGCTAGGGAAATAGCACTAGCTTTGTGGCTTGGAAAGTGTCTTCTGCTTCAGAGTTAGCTTTGGATATGAAGCTGCTGAGGAATGAGTGTTCCAGAAATGGCTCCTCTTTGGCACAGGTGCTTGTACCAGAGCTCCAATTAAATAGTAGGTAGATTTAGGATGGAGAGAGGAAAATAAGAACTGACCACTACAGACTTCATGTAGGACTGGGGGATTCTGGATCACCAAGGCATGAAGGGTTGGGTTCTTTGTGAGTGCTGGAAATAGCTCTTTTAACTACCAGCCTCGTCCGTGGAAATCTTGGTTTCTGTTTCAGGGACACTTGAGATCTGTTTCACTGGGCAGTCTTCCCTGTATGCTGTCTCTGCGCTGGGAGCAAGCTTGGAGCTACCTGAGCTGCTGTTTGGTGTGGACCTTTTTGTGGGTGTGTGTTTTGGGTGGGTTTTGCCCTGCTGTGTAGGACGTGGTTTGGAGGCTTGTGCTGCTCAGCAGTTGTGCCCACTGCCTTTCTCTTTCAAGATAAGATGCACTTGAGCTGTTCTCTGAAAGCGTGTTGTAAACTATCATATATGTTTGTACAAAACCTATCATGTCGCTTTGCCAGGACAATAAATCTCATCTAGTTCTAGAAATAAATTAATGCTCTGTAAGTTAAATGCAGCACAGTGGCTTGAAATTTTCAGTAGACAGGCAGAAATTTGGCACAAATGCAGCAATGTGCTTGTGTAAAAATACTGGTGCACCAGCCTCTTCCTCCCATTGCTACCCATATACCTCCTGAAAGTTAAGTGTCCCGTCTCCTCCATAGGGTGGCTCTCCATTCCTTCCTCCTATTGCTCTGAAAGACTAGAAACATTCCTATTATCTTCGGTAAAGGGGAGATCTCTTCACCCAACAGAACCCAAGAATTGAAAAGATGATGGGTAACCTAAAATAGAGAATATAGCTGCAGCCTACTTTTTGGCTATAAATGTAGGGACTCTTTAGAAGGTATACCATTTGTTAGAACATGAGAAAGATCTTGCTACTAAATGACTGTCAGCTGGAGTCAGTTGTTCAACTGGCTGTAAGGAGAATGCCAGTGTCTGAGAAGGAACTGATAGCAGGGCTGCCATTTAAAATGGGGAGCCAAACGCAAAGAGAAAACAAGGGGAAATGAATAAATCACCCCTCCCGTTTGGTTTGGGGGTGGGAAACTCATTCTTTAACTTGTATTTTTTAGAAACTTGGTTTGACTTTACCATCTCTTTGTAGAAACTAGCTTTTTAATCTTGTTTTGAGTTTTTTCTGTTGATTTTAATTATCATAATGTCAAAAGGTCAATATGACACCTCTGTGGAACCAGTAGGAACTCCCAAAGGTGTTTGTTTTTCTGTAATTTTTTTTGAAGTGCTCCACTCAAGGAGGGAGAGAGGGAAGAAAAATGTGAATATTAGCTTGTCTACTTAAAAGTTAGTCTGATATCTTTGAGTGCTTTGATTTCTGAATTTGATCAGAATCCAAACTTCAAGCCTTCCCTCCAGTCATAAATGTGGAGCTGGACGTCTCACAATTACTGAGTATTGTTGACATAGCATTTTTCCAGGAAGCACTAACAGTGCATCAGAATCCAGTTAATTACTTGAGAATAGTCAGGGCTTTATGGCATTGTGGCAAATGGCAAGTCATTACTGTGCCAGCCTATTACAGTTAATATGTGGGCAAAATGAATCCATTACACCAAACAACTTCAGTGAATTTCTGCTGCAAATTCTGCAGCAGATGGTCAGATGCATTGATCAGCTTGAATGGCAACTACATGTTTAATATAGCCACCCTCCTCTGGGACAGTCATGCCCAGGTAATGTCTTTGTGGTTATTAGCTCACAGTAAAACCTGTTTAAGCTCTTCCTTGGCTTGTTTGATCTCATATGAACCCATGTATGACATACTTCTGATTTTCATTTAGTCTATTCTTAATGTATATGCCTCCCCATACTGCTGCTACACAAAGCATAAGACTCCTTTATTAAGTGCCTAGCGTGTTTTTGGAAAATGGGGATTACAGCCATGGAAGGGCATAATTGCTATCTGAATGGCACAATTGTGTTTTGTGAATCATTTTCACTGCTACTCACCTGGCTGTAGCACATGTGAGTATTCAGCTGAACAGTTATTTACCAGCACTATGTCTGTTGTATGGAAACCCAGGAGAGAGGATAGATCTCCTGCCTGATTTTACTTCTGTATCATTTCATAAAATATTCATGGTGATAATCATTGTGGCTTGGAGACACTGAAAGATGAACCAAAAAAAGAGAGGGAACAGTTCTTCTGAACTCTACTGAGGCACTCGGGAGTCATTCTGATTCATGTCTAGGGATTTCACAAGGATTTGACGTGCTTGATCTTTAGCTTGTAATTAATTGTCAGAGCTGCTACCAGCTTTAAAAATCGGTTTCTACTGACTGTCCAAAAATAGCAGTGTTGGTTTTTAAAACCATTGCCTTTTATGTGTGAAATCAATTGCACCAAGAGCTTGTTCTTCTCACAAGTAACAACAAATTGTGTGCTCGAATGTCATCAGACTTGTTTGAAAATGTTAGCACTTACTTCATAATGCTTCCCGTGCTTAAGCGTGCACTGAACTTAGTCACATAAAATAACTTGGCCTGACGAAAGAAATAGGCACCTGGATACTCCTTGTAAAACTGCTAGGAAGCAGGATTCTCTTTAATTTGAACTTAGTTTTAATATGCTATGTAATCTTAAGCCAGGAAGATGGAGAGCACTACTACTAGTGCAAGGAAGTGCTGTCTGAAAGATGGGCATCTTGTCTCTCACTGTTTGTGCACACCTGAGATTTCAATAAAAGCTTGGAACTGACACAGGTTCGAGCTATTTTTCTCCTGTTTGTCTTCATTGCATTAAAAAGAACAGGTTCACTTTGAGTCTTTTTCCCTGCAATTCCTCTCGAATGGAGGTGATGTATAAAAACTGTGGAAACGAAGTTTCACCTAAATGCTGCATACTACCCACTGTAGCATGTCTGTAATTCAGCTATTGCCCACCAGCGCTGTCCTGCACTGAGCAAGTGTGGGTGTGTTTTGCTGGAAAGGTGTGCTACAGCTTCACCTTGATCCATCTATGGAGAGC